TGGGAAGAAATCAGGAGGGAAAAAAGCGTCATTCAAATATAGTATGTGGAAAGTTTCTTGAAACCATAAAAGTTTATTATTTACTGAGCTTTTATTTCCAGGCAGGGTACCAATACTTTAATGCAGCATTTCAGTTAAGTCTTTCGACAGAGTTGCAGTGTTATCACTGTAGTGACGTCGTTTGAAGACAGGGGCTCCAAGACTCTGGTGCTGTATTTCTTTGAGTGCCTGTGGAGCACCTGTCACTTGCCCATACACATTTAAGTGCAACAGACTTTTTTTGTTGTGCCCTCTTCGTCATTAAATTTTAGAGGCAAATACAGTTAACAAATCACATAATCGTACAAGCTGTGCCAAGTGCTATGTCAGATCGTTGGTGATGCAGGAGACCCTTGGTAGAGCTTTTCCTGGATGGGAGTCTGGGGCAGCGACCCTGGAAGTCAGTGGTACTGTACTTGGTTGGGATGTGACTGTTGAGCTGAAGCTGACAATGCAGAGTGGTGCTGGAGGGTGACCAGGGAGACAGCATCCCATTGGCTGGAGATGGGGTGGATTTCCTGTCAAACCAGGGAGCCTTGCCATGCACTGATTTTGCTATAGTAGAAAGAAGCTGACAAGAGGGTAAAGATGACCTCAGTAAGGCAGATGCCATACAGAAATATCCAGTGTGTGACACTCTGAGAAGAGAGAATGTTTATCTGGATGGAGAGCAGAGAGGAATTAGTTAGGAGCCACACGTCTTGAATCATTACTAGTAACAATATGAGTGGAAGATAGGAAAGACAAGCAGAGATCACTTTTGAAGGAAGGCAGAATGTCAATGAAGACTTTGGCCCACAAATGCTTCTGTAAGTGGAGTAACTCATGATCCCTAATGGGTGGAGTGCAGCGCTCAGACGTACCAGTACTTGCACCTGTGACTTTCCTAGTAGTTTATCTCTACCTTGGTTTGCTCATTTGTGAAAATAAAAATTAATAATAGTATTATTAGTTTTGATATTTTCTGAGGACATAGGTCATGTTTGTAAACTACTTAGCCAATATCTGCAAAATGGCAAATATTTAAGTGAAGAAATCTAGCTAATATTAATAACATCAAATCATGGTGTTTGGTAGAAGAAAGGACAGAAAAATAGAGGAAGGGGTGGTGCTTTTCAAACCTGTTGAAGGGCTTCCTTCAGGCTCCTAGCATCTCCATTCTAAGTTCATTCACTACCCATAATCATCAGTCCCTGAAGTCTGGCCCAGGAGATGCTGCCATTCACTTGCTACCACTTAACACAGTGCCTCGCTCCAAAGTGATGGTGTTTGCATAGAGATGATATTTGAAGCTGTAGGTGAGAATGAAATTGCCAAATCAAAGAAAATGAGAGTCCTGCCTTGGGAAACGTGTATTTATTTACAGTGGAGAGAGTGAATTTGCTGCCAGAAAGACTAGGGTAGTCCATCTTTCCCACCCAGGAATGGAGCAGAGTCAGTGCTACAGGCTCTATCAATCTAGGAGGACAGGGAGACTCAGAAACGGACCAGATGTGATGGAAAGGTTGCTTCTCAGAGAGCTCAGCTTCATAAATGTTTGTAGCAGACTCCAGGTGGCAGAATTAAAATGTAGGTTGTGATGAGGAAGTGGAAACACTGGTTGGTGAGTACATGGATTTATCTTTCAAGAAATCCATGGTGGAGGTAAGCAGAAGTAATAATTACTTTCAATAAATTGCAGACTGAAAAATGTATTATTGTTCTTTGGAAGTTGAGAGATTGGTGATCACGTTAGGACTGAGAAAAGTTACAGGGCGCCCGTGGCGACGCGGAGTCCTGGAGCCCCTGCGTGGAGGAGGGTCTGCAGCCGACTGACTGTTCAGATTGTGTGGTGCGCATGGCTCGGTCTTATCTGGAGGGCCTAGTGGAAGTGGGAGGCACTCTGACAGCAGAAGGAAGGAAGAAGTGGTTGAGCTCTCGAGAATGAAAATGCATGCCTTCCACTCTCCCTGACGCCTTGTGACGTATGTGCGTCTTAGGAGCTTAACTGGCTTTGATGGTTTTATGATAATTTAGGCTAAGTGTGCATGAATTGGCAAATGATCATATTGGTTCTGTTTTGTTGTAAATAAATAATATATCAAAGTTTTATGCCATTTCAGAAATGTTACTTAGGATAAAACTTCCTTTGAAGTCACAGTAGGCTCTTACTCAGAATATTTATTTAGATCATATTGTTTAAATACATGTAATTCCCTTAAGGGACAATTATAGTCTCTATAAATCTAAATTTAAAACAAATAGACCCCCTAGAATTCATAGAGTTACAGAATGGCTGTTCCAGTGCTTACGTGTTCATGTACAAAAGGAGGTGATGTGTCCCAGTGTTCATGTGTTAGGTACAAAAAGGGCAGAAAACAAAAGGGGATGATGGTCTGAAAGGTTTAATCCCCAAGTGTACCATATATGTTAAATTATCTCAGAAGAGAAAATATTTGGATCGAGAATTAATTCAGAATAAGTGAATGAATGATTCAGCCACAGTGAAAGAAGGAAGCGTATAGTCTATTGTTCTGGTCTCGAATATACCTATAATTAAAGCTGCACTTTAAACATGATGCAAAATTGGACCATTTTTGTAAAATAATTCTATTATCATAAGGGAAAAGAAAAAATATGAGAAAATGAAAAAATGGAAATGAAGTGTTTGTAAGCGGGGAGGGGAGGAGGGGGTGAAGAGAGGGCAGGGACAAGGGGGAAAAATGAGAACCAAGACCTGTCATGTGAAGGCACAAGACCCCAATGGTGAGTGTAACTGTACTGTACACCTAAAATGTACCGATAAACTCAATCTTTAAAGAATTTAAACCTACATTATTACATTAAAAAATAATTCTATCATCAAATTAGTAATTTAAATCATATATATGCTGGAGCTAAGTAGTCTTTGAAAGATCATTTATTTTTATTCTGTCTCTTGATTTTAGTTTTTCTTTAAAAAACACTATATGTAAGCTTTCATTATTTCACTTCAGTTGTTTTATTTTATTTATTTATTTATTTATTTATTTTTGGTTTTTTGAGACAGGGTCTCACTATGTAGTTGAGACTCACCTGGAACTCATTATGTAGCCTAGGCTGGTCTCAAGCTCACAGCAGTTCTCCTGCCTCAGCCTCCCGAGTTCTGGGATTACAGGTGTGCACCAGCATGCCCATTAAAACGTGTTTTAATAGCTGAATTTATAATTGGATATTTTTTATGTGACTTTTTTTTCCTTTGCTACTGGGGTTCGAACTTGGGACCTTGGTGCTTGTGAGGCTGGTGGGGGCACCACTGGGCTAAATCCCCTGCCCTATGTGACTTGTTTTTAGTGTAAACTCTGTATTGTGGTCACAGCACAAAAGTGGTGAATTCATTAGTTAATGAATATGTTATGTAAAGAAACTACTTCCAAACTGGGGCATTCTTGATATATTGTTTAGTTAATAAACTGTTGAAATGGAAATAACTTTCAGAATAATCATGTCCTCTTATAACACATGCATTCTTTAATCCCTAATTCATACAGTAAAATTTTACACTCTTATTCCTGAAGAGTTGGACAGTTGACATTGGAAGAAAATCCCCAACATATCAGGCAGATTATATTGTTGAATGTCTCCTTAGAGGTAAACAGAAGAGTAAATTAGGGATGGGAACGGTTGATGAAATGAGTACCAGTGAGAACTCTTAGCATCCGAAACAAAATAAGCAACCATGAGTTAAATGTTAATTTTGTAAAATACTTTAGTCCTGCCTGATCTTGAACATGGGGCACGACAGAAGCCCACTTGTTCAGCCTTAGCCTCTGTACATAGGATTTATCCTGATCATGTTAACAGCATTCAAAATACTGCCTGTTAAAAGTGAATCGGTTCATGTAAAAATTCCAGTGGTCCCAGCATTATGAGTGAGCCTAGCATTCAGGCACAGAACAACATTTGCAGGTAATCCAGACCCACACCCCACTCCAAAACCAGTAATCATGGACCACATCGAAATCTGTAGAGAAATCTTTTCCGGGCAGTTCAGGTAGTTACAGTAGATTGTTAATCTGTGAATAGTCAGATCAAACCCCTTCTGTCTTCGGAATTGCCATGCAAATTACAGCTAAATGTATGAGATAAATTTATTAAATGTAGTCTGCGAGCACAGGTCAGCTTTAGCACAATTCTTAAGCATAGGGTTTTTTATTCACCAAAAGTTACACTCCATTTATGCTAATTTTCTGTGGATTCACTTTATAGCATAAAATGATGAGATGATTTTTTGAAGTACTGTAGTTGTCAGGAAGTGAAAATTTTTTGAATGCATATTTTAGTTTTCTAAGATACAGTTGTACCGTCCAGGTAGAAAAAGTTCACATAAATGGCTTTTATATCTAATACCAAAACAGACTTAAACTTATCTTCTTGTATTGCCATTAAAATAGGAAGAATGTTTATATTTTTCAATGTAAGAATGGAAGTAGAATTAATAAAACCCCAAGGAACTGAGAAGTGATAAATAATATTAAAAATATGTTAGATCTTAATAGTCCAACAAGAATATCTTTCAAAATGTAACAAATTCAGCAGGAGGAAATTAATATTCTAGTAGTAATTTTTATCTGCCATGTTTTACTTTCACAAACATTTAACTTGAGTATTAGAATGTATTTTCCTATGCATTATTAGGAAGTGGATAAAGATAAAAATATATATCAGCATTTTTTTCCTTCTTGGTGTTACAGATTGTGTCTTGTGGAATATATAATCCTTTATTCTTACTGTGCTTGGTCTGCAATTCTAATTCAAAAGTTATATGAATGACTTAAAGCATTATGTTAGTGAATGAGCTTTCTTACCTTTTTTGTAAGAGATTTTTGATGGCAAAATTTATTTTCAAAATTTAAAACAAAAGTGGGCATTCATTGAAAGTAGCGGGAAAGCATAGCACCGTTTTGCAGATGCTGACCTCCATCTCCTCCTTTATTTTCCAGGCCATCCGGTGCACGCTGGTAAACTGCACGTGTGAATGTTTTCAGCCGGGGAAGATTAACCTGAGGACTTGCGATCAGTGTAAACATGGCTGGGTAGCGCATGGTGAGGAAAACCTGGGCTCCCCTTCCCCTTCTCGTTGTGTTTGTGTGAACGTGTGTGTGTTTGGAGCAATCACTGGCCTGGCAAAGAGAGCAGTCAGCTGTGCTCCAAGTGTTAGCCAGCACTCGGCAGAGGCTCTCAAACAGTGGATTCTCCTCTTCAGGAAGTAAGTGAGGAGAGCTCTGCAGAGAGGAGATGTGTGCAGGGCAGCTGGGCCGTGGGTTTACTGAGCATCGCAGCAGGCAGCAAGCACCAGGCCTGAAGGACACTCAGACACACCACAGTTGGCCTTTCAGGGCTGGACCTCAGAGGGAAGCTGCTAGCTCCTCCTTGCTTGAAAGCTCCTCAGTGACTACGCACCCCTGGCATATGTGTTAGGGTCTGAGTTTATCCTCCAGATGGTAAATTTTGTATGGTGCAATGGGTGAGGAACACTATTTGGCTAGTATCTGAAAAACAATGTGAATACCTCCTTCCGGTGTGCACTGGGGTTAGAGGAGGGCACCCTTGGGAGAGTGTGAGCTCTGCGTGGGTGTCCCTAGGGTGGGGTGGGAGGAGCAGAGGACCTAGGTGTGAAGGCAGTTTGCCAGATTTTACATTTTCTCGCGAATGATTTATATTTATTATGTGTAGGCAAATGGGGATGTGAAATAAGCAGACCCTTTTTCTTCTCTTAGACTGTAGAATTTTAAAAGATAGGTAATGTTTCTAAAAGAAATCCTGGCTGGAGAGTTTTTGACAGTCTGGGATATTGGCTCTTAAGTGGACATATTCTTCATTCCCAGGCAGTGCCAAACATCCAGTGGGTTGTATTTTTTATAAGTGTCATTTTATTCTAGCAAGATCTGAGGTAACAACATCGGGCCATGCCTTGAAAGGCTTTTAATTTATCATGTACCTTGCTTGTTAGGGCATTGTGTTGGAGGTGCAGGGACTTTTCGGCCACGATTCTGTGGAATGTATTGGAAATAGGGTGTGGGGACAGCACTGCCACAGTCCCATAATGCCTTACGGATACCCCTCTTCCTTGCTTCATTAACAAGGCCAAATTTTATAGCAAGTCTCAGTGCAGTCTTGAAAAACAGATGAGCTCCTGGCTGTTATATTTGTAGTCTATGTATGTTACTTTGCTGAATGATTTTTTCTTTCTTCCTATGTTAGCTTGCTAGGGCTTCCATAACAAAATGCCCCAGACTATGTGGCTTAACTGAAATAAATTAGTTTTCTCACAGTTCTGAATGTTAGAATTGCAAGATCAGGTTCTCAGTAGGGTTGGTTTCACTCAGGCCTTTCTGTTTTGCAAATAGCCACCCCAACTTGGTGTTTCCTCTGCTGTGCATACTTGTAGCATCTTCTTACCTATCTTCAATTCATGTTTGTGGAAGGATACCCGTCAGATTGGGTTGGATCCCAACCCTAAGGGTTTTATTTTAACTTCCAGTTCCTTAAAGGCACTATCTTCCCAATCCAGTCACATCCCGAGCTACGCGGGTGTCAGCTTCGACAAGTGACTTCTGGGGAATAGGATGCATTTAGCCCGTAGCTTTCTCCAGGCATCCTTCTTTCCATAGAAGAAATGCAGGTTTTTCTAGATAATAGGTTCAGTTTATTGTCCCCAGCTCATCTTCAGGGCGAACGGGCTCGGACCTTTGTGAGTCCCACACACAGCTCCGCACGTGCTCGAGATGGCGCTGCCTCGCGTCAGTGCAGCGTGACCTTCAGTTTCCTCATCGGTGAACTGTGATTCATAGTGATGTCTGCTCCAGCACTGAGCATACACAAGGGCTGAGCAGAAGATGCCATGCGTGTGTAAATAAAATTTATTACCGCAAAACACACATTGCCTTTAATCGCCCTCCAGACAGCCTCTGTCACATCTCACACCCTTGGCCCGTGGTTCTCGCTACTTCCTTGAAGCAGAGCTGGACGTCCTCTGCTGTAACTCTTCACTTGCGCTGTGGTGGCTGCCTCGACGTCCTGGATTGATTCAAAATGAATCGACTCAAAATGTTTATGCCAGTTTCTGTCCAGTGGAAACATTCTGCTGTGACCTTATCCACGTACACGCTCTGGCACTGCAATTCCTCCAAGTTAGAATGACCAGGACACATGTGTAAAGTCTTCAGCAAATACCACATTTGAAAAAGAACAAAGGGGACAACAGCTGAGCACTAAAAGGGTCAATCATTAAATAACAACAACAGAAAAAGGTTTTTCCAGCTATTTATTCATTTTCCCCCAAAGCCATCTTGTGTTAGTGCCATCTCTCCGCTCTGGGAGTCTTGGGAGTATAAAAGTTGACTTGGTAGCTGAAGTTTGTTCTGTCTGTCTGACTTCCGTGTGTCTTTCACACAATAAATGCAGTGTTTCTTTCTTCCTGAACAACATACGTTATTTGTGGCCAATGATTGTTTTCAAGTATTTGCAATAAGATAAAGCTGTTACACCAGACTCTGCTTTTTCTTACTGCATCATTAGATATCCTGATTCTAGGGTAATAATTTGAAGTTTCTCAGACCTAAGCAAAATTGATTCTAATTCTTCCCCTCACAATTAGCATCTTGACCTCTTTCTTCTCGCTCAGCAGGGGCACCTCTGTTCATAACTCAGAATACACACACACGAGGGTGTGCAAGCCTTTCCCCCGACCCTCAGTAGCACCGACGGGAGGGGAGGGGCTGGTTGCCACTGATCAAGCGGCAGTGGCGTGAGGGAGCCCACCTGTTTGGCACCAGCAGCTCACCTGCTTGCTTCACCCTGTCCTGTACGGATGTCCTGCGAGAGCTCATCTCCAGGTACCCTGCTCAGGCTCCACAGTGCCTGTGTGGGGCGCAGAGGAAATGACTTCATGCCCCTCCTGTGTGATTTCTTTTCTCTGAATGTATAAGTGAAACAGCAGTAAGAAACGTTTCATGGCGGAACTAAATACATCCTACCTGTTACGGTGGGGTTTAAAAAATTTTGATAATTGCAGCTAAAAATGAACCAAATGCCAAAATCAGGTATTTTAAAGAATTTTTAGAAATGTATTGGCCTCTGTTGTATAAATACTTTATTGAGTATAGTTTAACGTTTTGGGTACGTAATATCCATGCTTCACCTATAAAAACTTGGTGGGCCAAAAATAGCTCAGAATTTCTAATTTTGTCGCATATCTGTTAAATTTTTTGGATAAAGGACTCCAACATGCTGTTGCTTAATTCACCTTCCTCCTCTGTTCTTTTCCCCCATTTGCCTTCTCTTCCTTTATTTTTCCTTCATTCTCCTCAGACTATTGGAGTGAGGCTTGGGATTGGGGGTGAATTTAAATTCAACAGTTATCCGTCCTAACGTACCAAAATAAGATAGCAGGATACATGCATCAGCAGGCTCCTTTTTTGGTGACATTTTTTTTTTTTAGAGAGAAATTCATTTTTTTTTAACTCTTTCTCCCCATACTAGAGTTGTAATTTTACCTCCCACAGAATTGGAGCTTCAGTCAAAATTTCCACAATCTTAGGTTAGCCAGTATTACTTCTGCATGCCTAGCGATGGGAGAGCGGGTGAGTTGGGGGACTGGTGTTTCCAATCATAAACCCTGGCCAGAAGCTGTAACTGCTGCACCTAAACCACTTTTATTGTTTATTATTTGGAAGTTAATTTTAATGCCCACAGTCCAGATGAAGGCTTTATTTTTTAACTGTTAAAGAGAAGATAAATAAAGCAATGAAACTGAAAACATAAACTAAATTCTGAATGGTTTTATGAAATATTTATTGATCGGCCAAGAAAATTTGGAAAATTGTTTTTTTCATGATGATGTATATTTTTGTACGTGATAAAAGAAGTGAGCAGATTTTAGAAAGGTAATTTTCTTAGCATTTTTTTTCCTTTACTAAATCAGTAATTTTTACTTCTGATGAAACCAAATTGATACCCCCCCCCCAGCTGTAACAAACCAACTCTAACCTAGTTAGGTATGTTGGGTGTATTGTGTAAGCGTTTGGAAAGAATGTAGGAATTGATATATTTAAAATGCATTACATAGCTTAATGAACCACACAGCAGCTCCTTCAGGACAGATTATTTTCTTTATAGATTATTTTGACCTAAAAAAAAAAATAATGCTTCCAACAGGCTGTGAATCGTAGGATTTCCTTGCACTCCAGGTGATCTGCAGTGATCTGAAGGGTTACTATTTATTTATTTATTTATTTATTTATTCTTTGGCGGATGGCTTCCTTGCCAGAAAGCTTATTGCAGTAGAGTTCTTGGGAGCTTTTCCTTATTGTGTTCCATAAATGTGATTTCCTTTTACTACTTGCAATTCATTCAAGCAAAAGATAGTCTTCCATTATTACTTTAATTATTTGCTCATCAAGCCAGCTTTTTGCTGCCCATATTTATCTAAACTCTTAGATAAAATCTGTGAAATGAACAGGCTTATTCTGCATTGTCTGATCATCAGTGAACACATTTACTAAATGTATATCATACTCATGCAGGTCATCTTTGGTTATTTGCCACAGGCAGCGATGAAGGATGTCAAGTTAATTTAGTGTCATATACTAACAAGCTTCATGTACTGTAAGGCTTAATATTCCTATTATTCCTTAATTTCGGACCTTGTTTGTTATTTATTGGAAGTAATACTGATTCTCACCTCCCCTGGCATTGTTGAATTTGAATTCTCAGGTTTTAGTAGTTCTGGCTCATCAAACCCAGAGTACTCTAGAAAAATGCAAAAAGAAAGCATAGGTATCCTGTTAAATTTGAGTTTTGGATAACCAGTGATTTTTTATATGATTACAGAATATGCAAATTTGGTGGAATGTACTATATTTTTATTTGCTATATTTGAGAAGTTTGTACTGTAAAAAAAAAGTCCTACTATGAAAGTCATGATGAAGTTCCAAATCAGGGCTATCAGGTATGAACATCCTATAATCAAAACACTTGGTTATATTAGTCCTATAGTTAGAATCCTTGCATCTCTATATTCTGTTTATAAATTCTCCCGTTTT